GCAGGTCTGTTAGCAGTAGGCAAATCACAGTAATGAGATGGGAGGCATTTTCTTCAGGCTACTTAGGCACAGCAGGGTAGGATAATCTCTAACGGCCTTTCTGTGCTCAGTGGTCAAGCAGCAAGTTCAGACTGAATCACACATTGGACTGGATCATCTCTTGAGCTCCCTTCCAACTTCACCCATTCTGTGATTCTGTGATGTTTTTAATCAAAATGCCTTTTCCAAACACTGTATTGTACTTCAAACTAGGAGAGATCATTCCAATTCACCTAGTTATCTGTAAGGAAAGTGCTTTTATAAAGAGAAGGAAGGAACTTGGCTAGTGTCACTCCAAAGGAAAAAGTCTATTAAATTTGCCCTCTGTCTAAGAATGACTGTGCAAAGACACCTCCCTACACACAGGGCTATAGGGTGGATTTTTATTTATTTCTATTGCATTAGCTGTAACTGCTGCTAGCTTTGCATATTACTGTAACCAGGCTCACAGATAATCTATCCTGAGAGCACTAAGAGGGCCTTTGGGCATGGCAGACTCAAGCACAGAAAAATCCAGATGAGTTTAAGGTGAAATAAGCAGGATAAATATCATGAGCAGGGATTTCAGGCACATGCATGGGGCCCAGGCCTCAAACCTTCAGTTTTGCATAAACGATGATTTTACATCTACCTTTAACACTTTGGTTACATTCGTGTTAGGAGGTTTGGCTTCTGCGTTGCAAGTCCAACCATGTCCAAGCACGTGAGCTGCCACGGCCCTGCCCTCACCGGCTCTCTCCGAACTCGCCACCCTTCTGCTGAGCCCCCAGCAGGGCTGCTGAGCTGTGCTCACACTGAAGCCCGTCTTCACCAAATGTCTCTTGCCAAGAGTGGATTTCTGTTTGTTCAGGAGGTGTGTGTAGCACACGCATAACCCACCAAAAACACGGGCTTGAAGTAAAAAGTGTCAGACGGACTAACTATAGGTGGCACCAACAGTCCTATTTATAGGTGGCACACACAGAGGCCAGCCTTCTGGTTGACTAAAACGTCTCCACTATTAGCCCCTCAACCACACCGGCTGAGTTTGGCGTTTAATATATAAAATGTTTGTTGGTAGCATTTATATCTTCCCAAATGCTTACTTTTTTGTTTTTTTTGAACATGAGGTTATATACAGGCAGGTTTCCAATCCTGTTTTCACATAAAAAGTGTGAATATGATTCTTGAAATGCTGATGGTCTGCTTTGAAGTTACAAAAACACATCAGGTGCT